GAGCCCCTGCTCGGACTGATCCCCGCAAGCTGCTCCCCTCTCAGGGGGCTTTGGGTGTTCGCTGTGTGTCTGGTATTTGCTGTGACCCCCTTCTACCCCGCTCGGGCTCGGTTGCTGAGGGTGCTGCCTTGTCCCTCTGATCAGCGGAAGCTTTGGGAGCCGTAGCGGCAGGGGACAGAGATTCAGAGCTCACGAAGCTGCCGCAGGAGCCTCGGCTTGTGTTGTCACTCCTCTGCCTGTGGCCTCCCTTCTCCAGGAGGGCCGGTGCCAGCAGATTGCTCCTACACAGGGTGTTTATCTGGAAGGAGTGGTGTTAGATTATGAGCGAAGCCTCCCATGCTTTTGCTGGAACTGTTTTGCAAGTGTTTGTGTTGGAAGGAAATGGTTCTTCTGAGGAAATAAATTCGGTGTGTGGGGAAGGAGCAGGCATTTGCCTTTCCGGCTGACTAACTTGGAGAGGGACTGTCACTTGCAGGTGTGATGGTCAGTTCTTAACCGGTGGCACAGCTCGGGCTTGCTCTCCTCTAACAACCAGTGGAGGAGGGAGAGCTTCCAAAGGTAACTTGCCAGCTCCAGATTGTTACCGTGCTCCAAAAATACACCGTTCCGAGTGTGATGTGATGTGATGGCTTGGTTGCAAAATGCATTAGTAGCTCTCCTGGGGAGCCTGACAGGTTTGCATTCATCATCTCAGAGCAGAGACCAGCCCGGTCTCCCTTGCTTCACAGATGCGTGTTTGGTGTCAATGGCACCCTTTGGAGCTGACCAAACTAGGGATCTGTCGGCTGTCGTATCCTGATATAGCAACTCTTGTGCTACTCAGTGTGTGGATCTGTTCAATCCTGTGAAGCTACAGTTGTTCAAAGACTCTCTCCGAGGGAGATCTGAGCTCTGTAAAAACTCTGCCCTGGTAAAGATAAGCTGGCATGCTAAATTCAGCTGGGAATTGTCTCAGAGGTGAAGGTAGAGTGCACATGCTGGAACGCGGCGTTCCTGTTAGCTGCACCTCTGGACTAAAAGTTTGTGTTTCTGTTTTTAGTTTGTAAAAAGGAGTCACATCCTGCTGTCTCCTGGTGAGTTGGGGGATGGCCCCTGGGAACTGCACTCCTGGATCTTAAGGATTCACCATATGTTTTCTTTTCCTTTATCAGTCTCATCCAGTGGTTTGACGCAGCACCAAGCCGGACGTGCCCGCAGTGCAGAATCCAGGTAAAACCATCACCTATGTACGCCTCTGTGTTTCTATGGCACAATGCTCTGCAAATGGACCAATGAGCTGTGGCCTAGGCCTGTGGTGATGCGAGGAAAAGGCTTGTGGTATGAAGCAGAGAGAGTTTTCTGTCACTTGAGGCTCTCCCCAAAGGCTTAAAGGGTGAACTCCTTTCAGCAACCCTTCAGAACGGGTGGTCCAAGGGTGCCCTGCTGCTGTCCATATTGTAGCTTCTCTAGAAAGGGTCTCTGGGTTTTCATGGCTTTTATTTAGGCTAAGTATTGGCATAATGATAGAAAGGGCTGGAAGGGGTTAATCAGGACATCTGACTTGTGTTTCTAGAGTACCCTGCTGCTTGCTGTCAGGTAAGCAGCCTACTCTGCTACACGTGGTCCTTATAATTGAGTCCTTGCTTTGCAGCACTCGGCCATTCGTTGAGAAAAGCAAAGGCTGGGGAGGGAAGGATGTGCTCTCCTTCTGAGATAGGAAGCCAAGGCTTGGGGATCTAGTGGCTTAATTGGGACCTGAACTTCTTTGAAGTCCCTTTTGTAACCAGCCTTGATGCCACCAGTAGGTCTCGGCATGTAGTGGCTGTAGGAGATGTTGCCTCACACTCAGATGTAGGCTTTTAGCCAGCTGCAGCTTGGGCTTGTTCTGTGTTCGTGCTTCTTTCTTCCTCTCAAGGTCTTGGCCTTTGTTCCTTCCCTGACTTGTTGATTCCCTCTGTTCTTCACTGCCTCTTACATCTCTGGGTTACCATGGAGTTATCGCGAAATAACATCTTATGTAGCAGTAACTATGCAATTAGCTGGTGTCATGACTGTATATAATACTTAAAACACAAAGCTGTAACTGCATGGGGGAGGTGTGGAGAGCTATCAAATTCAATTACAGCACCTTCTGCCTGCAGAAAGCAGCACGTACTTCTGTCTTAGGATTTGGCATCGTGTTAGTTCAGCGTCAGCTGCTTGGGCCTTAGCTGCCAGAGAACAGACTGCGCTTGATTCAGAAATGCCTGAATCTTTCTGCTGCAGCTCAGGAGCTTGGCTGGAGTCGCGATCCTAAAACTGAGTGGGGGGGCCTGCTGCTGTGCTGACGAGCCGAAGCAGAGAATCATTGCTAATGGTGTCAAGCAAGTGATCTGACTTGCTTTTCATGGCCTTGTGACAAGATGGTACCTTCTCCCCTTCCACTTGTCTTCCATATCTGTTGTGTTTCCATACCTGTGCCCACCAGCCTCTTCTGTCTCCTGTGTTTAGGTCAGCAAAAGACACATAATCAATAAGCTGTTTTTTGATGTTGCCTTGGAGGAGCAGACAGCACCAGATGCAGAGACATTGCAGGTAATTTGACTGGGCCGTTCTTCTGTTGTGTGATGCTTCAGCATCTTCTAAGTGCAGCCTGGGCTGCTGGTCCTCTGCCAACAGCTGCTGCCTGAGCTGGTGTTTGCTGTGCTCGTGTTTCAGACCTGAAGTGTATCAGTGTCTCCTGCCTGCCTCTGTTCTCCCTCTTGGTCCTCACTTATTCTCAGCTCTGTTGTAAGGAAGTCTCCATGTGGTGGTTTAGAGTTCCCCCTGACCAAATCTCATGTGGTGACTCAAGAAGCCTCCTCTACTTCACTGCTCTTCCTTCTGGTTCTCACCTTACCTGGAAACCTCCTAAAGGAGCATCAAATAAACATCCAACTGCTGCTTCTCCTTTGGGTCTCAAAGCCTTGGGGATGAGGCTACAGAGCTTTTCCAAAAGACAGGAGAAGGAAAATCCCGAGTGCAATGAACTGCTGCCGGTGTCTGTGGCTTTGTTGTGTGCAAGCCCTGGTAACCCCTCTGGAAAGAAGGGGCTGTTAGAGGAAGTGCCACCTTCTCTCTGCAGGCATGTTTGTTTGCATGGACTGTAAGGAAGTGGGGCAGGGTGGTGATAAAAGTCTTGGTTCCCCAAGATAGATTAGGAAACAGACTGCGTGAAGGTGCACGAGCAGTGGTGGACAGTGCTGAGGCTGGGTCCTTGTTGGGGGAACCTGGCTGGAGCTGGGTTGCTGTGTGATGATCTCCAAGTGCCACCCTTAGGTGCAGAGAACTGGGGGTAAGAAGGGATGAATGCAGAGCAGCTGTTTTGTGGTGTTCTCCTTTGTTTAGTGTGGATGAAGCAGAGCTTCTTATATCTTGGAGCTGTCTCTTCCAAAAAAAAAAAGTAATCAGTTGACCTTGGTATAATGGGATGCTTGTACCCTCTTGTGTTTAGAATCAGCATGTGCAGCAATTACCATAATTAGCAGTTGCCATGACAATGCTATATGTATATCGTATGTTTTTAAAATAAAGCCAGCCAGACTATAATGTCATTCTTGAAGACTGCTAATAAAGAAACTGAAGGCCAAAGTATGCATGCCCAGGAAATGAAAAAGCATCTCTGGGCACTTGAAGCTGTGTGCCCTAGAAGTGGAGCAATGGCTCGGAGCAGATAAACATTGCCTTTAGTACCTACTCAGATCTGTTCTCGCAAGTGTAAATAGATGAGTGACTCAGAAATGGGTTGACTGGAGAAAATTGCCCTAGAAAAACTTTATTCCCTCTCACCCCCACCCCAGGTTCTAAGATGGGTTCCCCCAGACTTCCTCTCCAGGCAGGCTGTGCTGAAGAACTGCTCCCTTACTCAAGCGCAGGACTGTGGAGCCGCTCCTGCACAACAAGCTTGATGGTAGCTCATCATGCTCCTACGTTTGTTTTCTGGCTGTCAGAGCAACAGCTAGCCCTGAGTGTGCAGCTTTCCTAATGAGATTGCTGAGGTCACTGTCTAATGGGAAAGAAACAAATATTTTCTGTGTAGATTAGCGTAGTTAGTTTGTATGGGTATTTACTGCACTGTGCACTGATTCAGGTTGCTGCTGGGCTGATGCTGGTTTGTCACCAGTTCCATTTTGTGTGTTGCCTTGTTTCTGGAGTTCATGGAACACCTTAAGAACGTGGGTGACCATCGTGGGTGGGATTTAATGTCCATTTTGACTGGAGTTCTGTCTGCAAAAAGAATTGGTGACTTCTTCAGCCAGAAGTGATTTCACCTGAAAAAGCCCCCAGATCCAGGGTTTGTTGTCAACCACTGCCTGTCCTTCCAAGAGCCTGGGTGTAGAGTGGTACTTGGCTCCGTAATCAACTGGAGCTGTATCTCTGCAGCCCGCAGATGTCCTGTAATGAGCATTTGGCCTCCTGCCATGAAAAGGCTGGCCTGGGGCAAGGGAGTGTGCTTCAATATGCTAGAAAGCAGAGTGAGTAGCTGTGGTCCACTTGTCATCTTGGGGAGACAAGCTTAGATGCTCTTCTGAGAACCAATGTTATGTACCCAGGTATAAGTGGTTGGAAGAGCTCCCTCATAATCTGGAACTTCTTCCTGTTGTTGCAGAATTATCCAAATTATCTTTTGGATAATAATTGTCTTTGGTGCTATTCCTCACTCTTGCTTCTGCCCTGAAATGTTTATGGTCAAAGGAGTGCCAGGGCTGCTTTGCTTCCCACCACTGGGCATCAGTGTCAACTGAAACACCAGAGGGAACTTGGTTCCCTGGAATAGCTGCAGACCACAGGCTGAACACTGCAACATGTTCAAGTGTTTCTGGGTGCTAAGCCTGGGTTTATCCCATCTTGCTCTTAAAGAAGGTCCTCACTGATCAGAACAGTCTCCATGTGGCTGTTCACAGAGCACGAAAAGTGTGAGTTTTGGGGTGTAACACCTCTGTGAGGCTGTCTAGAACCTGACACTTCCAGTTGCTTTTGATCTGGGGAGTGGAGAGCCCTTCTTCCAAAGGAGACTCAGAGACTTCTGCTTGTTCAGCTTGGTGAAACGGAGGCAGGAGGAGGAGGATTCCTGCCTGTAAACCTGCTGAAGAGGGTAGAAACCTGGGAGGACAGCTGTCTGTTTGTGGTCAGGATATACTCATTTGATCTTGGGAAAATGTGGTCTTGTAACTCAGGCTGGCAGAGAGAGGAGAAACGAGTGAAAACTGGGAGCAGCTTTTAGGAGCAGTGGTGGAGGATGAAGGATTTCAGATTAAGTTGATGAATGAGGTAATGTTACATAGCTGCCTGCAGTAGCCCGGGATTTCTTTGCTCTCATGCTAATTAGCACATCTTGTGAGCTCACTAATCGTTCCTGAATAGGACTCTGAGGAAGCTACTCCAGAATAGTTCCTGCAGCAGAGTTAATTCCATGTCAGCCCTCCAGCTGTTGTCCCTCTGGGGGCAAATCCAAGTTAGCTCTGCTAGGCTTTGCATTTAGTTCCTTCTGCTTACTGAGCTTTACATCCCATATTCTCTTTCCTGCCTTTATTGACACTAGCAGAGCTTTGCTCTGGTCCCATCAGATCCGTGGTCACCGGTGCTGCTATTCTCAGCTCAGATTTGCATGTAGCATTCCGGGTTGCACAGATTTGTGTGCTCTGCTTCAGTACTGTGTTGGCATTTTATTGTGGTTTTATTCCACTGCAGTTCCTGCCTGACTTGTTATGTGCTTTCCTCTGCAGTTCTCTAACACAGCTTTTTAAGTCATCTTCTGTTGACTCTTTCCTGTCTATATTTTTCTCTCTATTTTTTTATATATATACACATATATATATTTAGATATTGCCCTTCTTTGTAACCTCTCTGTACTTCCTTTGGCTATTTGTCAGTGTTCATAAGTCATATTGCTTCATTATCTGTAATTTAAACTATGGGGCATTTGCTGCCACTTTCTGATCCTTAATGAAGGTGCTAGAAACATTTGACCTTCCCCAGACCATTGTGGCATCCAGGAGATGTTACGTGCCCTCAGTTTGGTACAGATTGGTTTATTGGTGATCTGTCTATGGCCATTTGACTGAGCTGTTGGCTCATTATCAGTATCCTGAACTGCAGTGAGTTCAGTGTCTGTCAGAATGCTAACTTGGTGCCTTTTGATTGTATGCTTGGTTACCTTTTCAGACATTTGGACATGCCCTTCTGTCTCCCACCTGCAACTGATTAAAGCTCACTTCAGTTCAAAGCAACTCTCAATCCAGTTAGTCTGGCAATATCCCTGCCTTATTGCCTTGTTTAGGTAAAACGTTATAAAAATTGTTCCTGTCTGATTTCCTGTGTTTCCCTGAGAGCCTTCCAAAATTATTCAGCTAAAACAAGATGACTGACAGTGTGAGAAACACAAGGTTGACAAGGCTAAGATGAAACTGGGATCTTCTCTTCTCCCCCTGAAGCACACCAGTTGGAGGTGCTGTTTGCATTCCCTGTGATAATACTTGCTTGTAACTTGGTGCTTGTTGTTACTACGTTCTCTTCTTAGCACCTGGCCGTTGTAAATGTCCTGCCGAGAAACCTCTCAGGTCCTTTTAAGATCTGCCAAAAGCTCCTCTGCAGGATGTTTCCTAATTGGGTTTTCTGTGTTGTGTTTCAGAATGAACTGGACAAGGTGAAGGCTCAGCTCTCTGTGAAAGGTGAGTTCCATCTGCTGGTGGGGCATCGGCAGCCCACGATCGGCAAGTCCTGGGCTCTGCCTGTGCTAGATGGCTTGCCCAGGCCTGAGGAACCCCTATGCAGAGCCCACCCCTCTCTGAAGCTGAGGGCATGGTGCAGGCTGCAAACTGTTTTGCTGGAGCAATTTCTTCAGAGCTTTCTCTGAGGCAAGACCATCTAAAGCTGTACAAAGGTTGTATGACAGAGCCAGAGCCCACAGCCTGGCCCAGCTCTGCTGTAACTGGGGAGCCCTCTGCAAGTTTAGATACATATATGCAATTTTTTTGCCCCTCTTCCTAATCACAAGCTCCAAAAGTGCAGCACAGCAATATCTGGAGCAGGCTTGCTGAAAGCAAACCCCTTGGTTTGCTCACTGGGAAACTCACAGCTGCATATGGCAAAGGTTTGTTCCTTCTAACAGATGAGGGGGTAAAAGTGGTGTCCAAGCAGCAGTGGGAAGCCTTCGGATTTGTTTGGCTGTTGCAGTGCCACGTGTCGTGCGAAGAGCAGACGGAGTTCAGTGTGTGTGCGCGCTTCCATTCTCCTATCTTTAATTTTAGAGGATGTTTGAGGGAAGCAGGAAAAGCAAAAGCCCTGGAGACTTGTCGATGGGTTTTAAGCGTCGTCTGTAGGCAGCCTGTCATCAGAACATGAGTCATGAGCAGCAAAAGGAAAAATGTCAGTCTGAGTGACAGAAATCCAAAGACACACTAGCAGAAGGGAAAAAAAAAATCTTTAAAGAATGCTGGGGGCTCACCCACGCCCAGAGAGTTGTCTTTCCTCTGCCTTCCCTGTGTGCACGAGACAGACATGAATAGCCAGTAGATTGAGGATTCAGTTCTTAGCCTGAGAGCAGAATTGGATGGTCTGCATGTCTCTATTCTGAGGCCTGTTCTCTTGCCAGCTTGGTTGAGTTTAGTGACTTGGTAGAGAGCCAGATCTTCTGGGGAAGGTGGCTGGGATTCTTGCTAGGATGTTATCCAAGAAAAACTGCTCGAAGGCCTGCTCATCTTCTCGACTTCTGGTGAGTAGAGGTTGGATTTGACATTCCCCGTCCCATTCTTTTTTCATATTGGAAATGAGAAGCTTCTTCCCACCTCCTGCCTTCTTTGCTGTGGGCACTCTGCTCTCTGGTGGTTCTTGTGTATAAATTCTTCACTTAAAGATGTGCTGTGTGCTGTAGAGGAGCTGTGTAATTGCCAGCCTCTGATCAGCTTGCAAATGGCTCTGGAGGTGCGGAACTCCGAGCAGACCTGGCAGGCACTGTGGGAGGCACTCTGAATGAGCTGAAAACTTGTTCCTCCAGCACAGGGAGGTTTGACTCCTGCCATCTGCCTCTGGGCAGCTGGGAACAGAGTTGGGGGAAGCCCTAATTCTTCTGGTGGATGTGGAGCCCCTGCAAATGCAGGTGAGGAAGGGTTATTCAGATCAGTGGAGAAAAAAATGCTTTGCTAAGAAAAAAATCTGTGTTTCCCTAGCCACCTGCATGCTTCTGCTGGGATATGTTCATCTTTTCTTCCCCAGTCCCACGTGGCTCTTTTACTATTTGATCAAACAGTGAAGCTGCACTGTAGGTCATGCTTCCATGGGACGTGGGGGCAGAGTTTGAAACTGGATTGCTTGCAAGGAGAAACAGCTTTCTGGAAAGGCACTGATTTGCTCTCCACTATTGTCAGGCTGGAGCTACGGATGATTTTAGCAAGGACAGAAGATGCTGAGCTGAAGACTTTACCCTGCTCTCAGCAGGGTTAGATGGAGGGGTTGCTGCTTTTCCTCATTGTCCAACTGCTTCGAGCTTCCCAGTGATGCTGGCTGTTTCCTGCTTAGGTCTGTCAGCTCCTGATGACAGTTCTTGCTTTGTGAGCTGTTCTTCCCTTGTCTCGACAAAACAAATTGAAATTTGGTGTTGTTTTCCACCACCTTCTCTTTGGTGGTCAGAGGCATGTGCTTTGTTCCTGGATTGCCTGCATGGGGAGGGACAGCAGGACTCAAAGATTTTGTGACCTGCAAAAAGTGGGTGTTCTGGGGAATCTACTTAAGCTGTTGCATGTCCTGTAAAGTCCCCAGTGCCCAGTAGAGCTCTGCTTTACTGCCTCTTGCACTTCAACATAGGTGCAGTGGTGAGGGTAGTTGCAGCAGCGTGGTGACGCATCAGCATGGTGGATTGCTGTACACAGCTGCCGAACGGCTGAGGGCTCGGCTCTCCAGCTCTGTGACAGCTCTGTGTAACTCAAGAACAGTGTTCCCTGTGCAAGCTTGGCTGTGAGAGAATGCAAGAGTTAAGATGCATCAGCTTAATGCTGGCAGGGCTGGCACTGGAAAGCTATTAAAGGGAACTTGTTATCTTTAGTAAAGAAAATCTTGAAGCCTGCTGGCACTGGGAGAAGCAATTGCTCAGTACAGATCCTGGTGCAGAGAGCACTTAGGAAAATGGCGCTCTGCAGGAATGGCCAACTTCTAGCAGCCTGGAGCCTGAGACTGCAAGCAGCATCTGTTTGTTGTGCTCCTGCTGCTGTGGGGCAGCTGAAGTCTGGGTTACTGGGCCCTGACCTTTTTGTTTTTTCTTTTCCAGAGAAAGAAAAGCGGGAATGCCAGGCCATTGTGGATGGGCTGAGGGACACTCTGGATGTGCGCAATGCCACAATAGAGTCGCTCCAGAAGGTTCTGGCAGAGACAGAGATGCTGTGCTCCTCTCTCAAGGTACCTTTCCCATCCCCAGCAGAGGATTTCAGCACTAACCATTGCACAGTCAGTGTTAGTTTTGAAAATCTCCACAGGCCCTGCTAATAAAGAGATTGTGCTGGTGGGATTTTGGATCTGGTGCCTTGAAACTCCCATCTCCTTGATCTCTGACAGAAGGGCAGTATAGCTGGGTTTTCACATTGGGTTTATTAATCCAAAGTGAGTGGTGTCGCTGCTCTTGAGGTCCTCAGTGCGCTCCATCGGGGGTGATTCAGAGGTGTAAAAGCCAGGCCTGTGGCTTGTGTACAAGTGGCTGCATGCTCAAGGCAGAGGTGGCCGGAGTCAGGGAGAGATGCCAGCCCAGCCTGGGGGATGTTGGCTGAGCCTTGCTAATGAAGTGGCAGTGCTGATCATAAAGGTAGCAGCATGAACTGAGAGTGGGAACTGGCCCCAGCGCCCCATTGCCAAAACACTGGCTCCCTGTGGTAGAATGTTCTTCTGAAATGGGTTTAGGCCAGGCGGGATTCAAGGAAAATTAGTTTCTTAGTTTGATTGGAGGAGAAATCAAACTGAAATATATGGAGGGGGAGTTGCAAGCTTCAGCTGAGTGGGATTTGATCCAGCTAACTCTCCTGTCTCTGTTCTGTTGCCAGGGCTTTCCTTTGGTTAGGTTAGTAATGTCTGAAGTCCAGAGATCAAATATTCCTGTTGTGTTTCAGCATGCAGTGACTCAGTGTGTAGTCATGTACTGTGCGTAAACAGCAAGTCGAAGAGGGTAGGAGCAGGAGCTGCTTTGTTGGGAAGTCTTGTAGTGAGCAGAGTGACTTTGCCTTGGCAGTGGGCTAGGAGGGGCAGTCTCCACTGTGTGACAATGATGTGCCCGTCACAAGAAGATGAGGTTCAGGCAGGTGGGGTTGTGAGCTGCAGGCCGAAAGGCAGGGTAGGGTCAACTGGACTTCGCAAGATCTCTGCCCCTTGGACTGCGGGTCTGACCCAATAGCCTAAACTGCATCGTGTTTCTTGACCTGCAAGGCCAAGTGGCCCAGGGAGAGCTTGTTAGATGGGTTGCAGGGTCATCTTGCTGTATGTCACCTGCAGCTGGGCTCTTCCTGGAAGGAACTAGCCTGGGAGGTCTGCCTGACACTAGCAATGTGGTGCTGTCACAGAGTGGAAGGAGAGAGAGACTAAGGAATTAATGCCAGACAGGCCTTGCTGTGAGCCAGCACAACTTTTTTTGCCTGACCATGGGTTTATATCCAATCTGCTTGGGTGTAAAGGCAGCCTGGGTCTGTGCCATGCCAGAGATGCTCTTGGGATCCCAGCTGTACCAGTGGCAGGATACTTCTGATGCTTCCTACTGCTGCAGAAACAATTGTGACAGTCAAAGCTGGTGCTTGCTGCTCAACTCGGCATCTCTGTGCTTGGCTTTCCTGCCTCCTTTCCACAGGAGGAGGCTCTCTGGTTATCTTTCCTGTTGCAAAACCCTCTGTGTATGCTTAAGTCCTTTTAATGAAAGCTGGGCAGGGCAGAAGGATTAGGGACCTGGAGGTATCTTTTCCGTGATGTGTGGGGTTTCCCAGCTGAATGCCAAGCACTGTCTTATACTGCATCATTAAAGATTAAAGCACTAAACTTCTGCAGTGAAAATACAGGCTTAACTACCTGTGACGCAGGTCAAGCCCACAGGCTGCAAGCCATTCCTGTCTTCTGCTAGCACTGTCAGCTGCTCCTGAACCTTTGTGTAAGAGTTTGCTGCTGTTTCAGGCTGTCTGAGGCTAGGGACTCTGCTCCAACCTGGCACAAAACACTGCTTTGGGGATCTGAAGTGTAGAGAGCTCTGGTTAGGAAGAGCCAAAGATGGGCTCTGCTTAAGCAAGAGTAACACAGAGCCTGCAACACTATCCCTCTGCAAAGTCCCAGCAGTTTCACAGCTGTTTGGTTTCTGTGGCAGGAAGTGGGTAAAATCCTTTAACTTCTGCGTGGAAGGGAACTTTACGAGGCGATGGTCTTTGGCCAGGCCTCTCCCTGGAGTCAGCCTGTGCTGAAACCAGGCCCGGAGCCTTTTGAAGCCACTGTGCAAGGTGCCCAGCCACACAAACTTAGACAACACAGACATATTGGAACAGTGCTAATTCAGGCCAGTTTTCCCTTGTCCTTTGCCACACTGCAGATCTGTGCTTTTTCAGCTCAGCTGAGGTTCTCTGTTACTGCTGCCTACTACTGGAGAGCCTGGAAAGGTGATGGCTGCAATAGGCTTGCAGCCTCTCCATGCAGGTGAGAGAAGTGCCCGGGTGGGTGTCTGGTTTGGCTGAGGTCTCCCAGAAGAGACCCGCTCAGCATTCCTATTTATTTTTTAAGCAGTGAACGGCAAGGAGAATTGGGAGGCTAAAGCAAAGGGATCAGCTGTGCATGGAGGAAAAAGCAATAGCAAGGTTTGCTTGCTGTGGACTCCCTTGCTTTTGAAAAACAAATTGTCACTGTGGACAGGGTACTGCACAACCCCACAAACGCTCCCAGCAGAAAGGAGGCTAAGACACAGTTTCAGCGCCAGAGTCATCTTGCGATTAGCACTGAGACCCTGCTATGTTTGCAAGGAGCAGAGCTAGGGGTGCAGCAGGGAGGGAGCTAAACTCTCCGTAATCCTGGGCTGCTGAGGTGGTGATAGTATTAAGAGCCAATGTATGCTCCCAGCTGCAGTGCGCATAAGCCAGGATGTTTCTCTAACAATCCCTGGAGCCTTCCTAACGGTCTGTGTGCGCTTGCTTCTCTGCAGAAGCAGATGAAATTCCTGGAGCAGCAGCAGGAGGATAACAGGAGTTCAAAGGAGGAGGCCCGCCGTCTGCGAAACAAGCTGAGAACCATGGAGCGGTGAGATCCCAGGCTCTCCCTGGGCCTTGCAGGCTGGGCTGCATGCCTCTCTCCTTCTTGGAGAGGGAGGGAAGGGTCCTGCTGTGCCTGCTGCAACATTCATCTCAACATGCTGGGTCATCTTACCCCATAAGGTTGGAAATTGCTGCCTTAGCAGGCCTGCCCTTACCTGTCCATGCTCTTGCCCCTGCTATGCTTCCAGATGGCTACTCTCCCTAAACAGCAGCAAAGCATAGTACTGTGTACAGACTGGCCTCATCTCTAGTGCTTTGAGTGTGGCTACATGCCATTCGTGTTATCAGACGATGCTGGGGCCGAATCCCAGCCCAGGAACAGTCAGCCCACAGGGCTATAAGGCCAAAGAGCTGGGCTGTTGGCCCCGTGTGCAGTATGTGTGTACAGCTGCCCCTTCTCTAGTCTGTTCATGTAGTGCTACTTTTCCCTAGAAAAACTCTGCTTGTGGTGGGGCAGTTGTCTCTCTCTTCCCTGCCATGACACCTGGAGTGCCTGCAGCAGGAGCTTAGGCTACACCAGCTCTTTGGGGAGGAAGCAGGGCTCCAGCCTCTTTCCCAGCTCTGTTTGTGACTCATGAGCAGAGGGTACTTTTTTTGTGCAGGATTGAGCTGTTGCTTCAGAGCCAGCGCCCCGAAGTGGAGGAGATGATCAGAGAGATGGGAGTTGGGCAGGCAGCAGTGGAACAGCTTGCAATCTACTGCATCTCGCTGAAAAAGTAGGTGCTGCGGGCTTGGCACAGCCGGCTCGTGCTGTCCTGGGTGTGCCCAGGGAGAACCCTCTGCCAGGTACCGGCAGGCATATAGACTCTACAGGGCTCTTGCTGCCTGTTTGGGCTTCCACTGGGTTTTGACTGACAGATCCTGGGGACCTAGATTGGAGCCTGTCACACTGAACTGTTCCTCTTATCACTGTACTGACATGTGTGTCACCATGGGAACTGTCTCCAGAGTTGTCAGTGCACCTATGAGGTGATGATGATTATTCCCTCTGTTCTCCTCTCATGCCTGGGGGGAAGTGTGTGGATGAGGGGCTCGGGGTTGCACCCTCTGCTGCATTGCACTGTGCAGCTGTGGCCTCAAGTGCTCTCTAGCAAGGCAAAACTGCAGTGCTGCCCTCCCCTACCTGGAAATCCATCTGGTCCTGCTGGGCAAAACCACAGCTTCTTTGGGTCCATTCTGATGACAGCTGAATAATTGCAGCTTTGATACGAAGCTGTAATGAGGCGAGTGTCCCTGTGGAGTAATTGGGAATGAATGTGCATGGCCAATAGTGTGAAGTTTCTGAAAAGTCACTTAAAGCAAAGTCCCCTATTTGCTGCCAGCATGGAGGCTGCTCTGTTGTCTGTCTGTCTTTTTCACTGGCAACTGAAATGTCTCTGGATCTGGTTTCCATTTTGCTGGTGAATTCTGTTCATGCCCTGTTCTTAGGCATGGTATGCTGTGCTGCTTTTTTTCTCCAGCATGGTGTAGCAGTATGTTTGACATAATGTTGGTCAGTGTTAGTACACTCAGCTCTGTTCCCTTAAAGGGCTTTGTCTGTTGGGTTTTCTCTGGTGGCTCTGCAGTTGCAGAGCTTCAAATTAAGGGTCTTGGGCTGCCTCTGAGAAGTTCTAGCTCAGTCCTATTGTAAACTGCATGACTCTTCTGGTCTCTTTGCAGGGAATATGAAAACTTGAAGGAGGCTCGGAAGATCTCTAGTGAGATGACAGAGAAGCTGAAGAAGGAGCTGTTTTCTGTCAACAGCAAGGTAAAGGGATAGTGTGAGTTGCCAGGGTGACATCTGGTCTGTAGATCCCTGTCAATAACTGTGGCCCAAGCCTTCTGCAGTGACCCCTCCCACACTGAGCATTACTCAAGCGGTACAGGTGGTGTGGAAGTGTCTGGCTGGGGGTTCTGGGTCAGGGTGTGATGCTGTGGTGAGTGAGCAGCTCATGGGCTGGTGTCAGGAGTGCAGTCTCTGGGGACACTGGTGGGGCAGCCTGTGCAGAGCTAGCCAGAATTTGGCAGGGAGCCTGGACTGGAAGGCAGCAGCACACAGGTGCTCTGCTGCTTCCACTGGGCTCTGGAGCAGCACCGCCCTCATCCTGCCACACTGCTGAGTATGAGCTAGCTCAGCTGCCGGTCACTCCTGCCCCTAGGAAAGGTGGGAAGATGTTTGGAGTCAGCATCAGTTGAGCAGGGCTTAGCCCTGGCCTGGCACAACCACAGTCACACCCAGCCTTCTGCCTTCAGCCAACTGAACTGTGCCAGGGCTCCCATGTGATGCTGTGCCCAGGCAGGGGACGTCTCTGAGGTGTGGTGAGGACATGCAGGTGGCTCTGCACAGAGCCTGCCTGGGCTGGTCCTGACCTGGTGCAGAGCTTGGAGCTGCTGACGTGCCTCTATTGCAGTGCTCCCCCTGCTCCAGGCCTGGCTGCGATCTGTTAGCTGAGGTCAGGAATTGCTTTCAGAAAAGTGTGTACATGTAGCCTTGCTCTCCAAGGCACAGGTGTTTCCTGGGGCATGCCTGCATCCAAGCTCTCAAAATGGGAGACTGTGGGTGGATTTGGCCTATTTTTGTTACCTGGCCATAGCTGTTGTGGTCCCCTCAAATGGAGAAGGAAGTTCTCAGATTGCTGTGGTGGTCCCCAACACGAGGTGCTGCTGCTGGAATCAGCCTGCTTCTGGCTGAGTCAGTGCCAAGCTGCAATCACTGGCTTGGGTCAAGAGGATGCGAGTCAGTGCACTCTGGGCTTGGCTGATGGAGAGCTGACTGTACCGGCACTTTGTGGGCTGGCCCAGACTCCTGAACCCACAGAAGTCTCTGATGTGGTAGCAGTTCACTTCTCAGCCCCTGCTCCTGGCATGCTTCCCTGTTGAATCAGGCTTCTCCGTGTGCCAGTACTGCTGATGCACAACCATCCTCCAGCCTGTGGTTTGTAATTCCTGTGCTCTGGTGTGTCCAGAGTCCTGCAGGAATTCAGAATGCAGCCACCAAGTGTTAAAGCAGGGAAAAGCTGTCACCCTCAAGCATAAATGCTCAGGAAATGCTATAGGAAGGTTTGTGTTGGGCAAACAGCCCTGGAGATCCCTCTGCAGGCAGCTTGAGGAAATGGGCCGGCATTGAATTGCTCTGATACAGGAGAGGTTGGTCAGACTGCCACAGGAAAACCGAGCTGTGAAATGGGAAAGTAGCATGTGCCACAGAGCTTACTGCTCTCATGGGGGATCTGCAGTCTCCCTTACCTATGTGTTGTAACCAGTATTCTGCTGTTTGGGGGTGTTTGTTCTGCAGTTTCAGAAAACAGTTTCAGAGTTGGAGAAGACAAAGGAGGAGTTAAAAAGCACCCAGAAGGATCTGAAGAATGCAGACAAGGAGATCTTGGTGAGAATATCATTCCTTGGTCTGCAGTAACTGGCAGCTGGCCATGGCCTGCAGCTGCAAAGCCAGGAGTTATGCTGGCTCTTGCTCAGTGACTAGGTTACCCAGCCCATCTTACCTCTCTTATCTGCCCCACCTTGAGCTCCACCTGATGCTGATTTATGGAAAAGGGGCAAAGTATCTGCTACTAAATCTTTCCTTATCTTGCTGTCTGCTTTCCCTTTTCCCTCCAGAGTTTGAAGAAGAAGATAGACATCCTGCAGGATACTCTGAAAGTCCCATCTGTAACCAGAGAGACACTCAGCCGACTAGTCTTTGAAAGGTTAGTGAAGTACATCCTCAGATACAGGCCAAGGATGGAGATGGCAGGTCCAAAGTAAGAGATGATGGTTTAACTAGCTGGGGAGACAGATGTGCTGGTTTGGTAGGCATCGCAGTAGCACAGTCATCTTGCTCCTTGTATCCTATTTTGGTTTTTTTCTTCTTGCTGACAAATGGTGTTTGGTTTACCTGGAAAAAGTGTGTGTTTTGGATGATTTGGGTCAGGAAGGGATGGAAGAATGGGCTACGTTTTGACAAGCTGCCACTGTGTCCTGCCAGGGAGATACCACTAAAGCTGCTCTTCTGGTTGCCTCAGAGTTGGCCTTCCAATGAGTGTGCCCTAGTGTATGGGGACTGGAGATCTTTGTCAGGCAGAGGAACCTAGCCTGAAAAACAGCATCTTTTATGTTTTTATCAAGCCCTTTCTTTCAAGGAGCCTGTGCCTTACCCCGGTACAGCAAGCTGGGTTGTGTACACAGAGCAGCAGTGTGCCAGTGTGTTTTCCTGGGCTCAGGGTGCTGCTGTTATGGCACAGGCTGTTCAAGGGTGAACTGTAGTTTGGGACATTGACTATAAACTCTGGGATTCGGATTGTCCTTTCTGTGACTTGTAAGCAGAATGGGGCTCTGATCCCGGTCCCACTGCTGTCTTGCAACTCAGTTGCATAGCAGCTCCGTCTTCCTCTCATCTGCTGGGTGGTAGGCAGTGGCCTCCTGATGGCTGACACTTTGCATGGTCTTGCAGCCCTCCTCCTGTGGAACTGCGGCACCCGAAGCTCCACCGCCCGGCCAACAGTGATGAGATCAATCTAGATGCTACTTTTGATGTGGACACCCCTGAACATCAGCCCTGTAGATCTCCCTTCAGCCCTGCAAAAAGGCAGAAGCTGGATAAAAAGCCGTGAGTTTTCCCTCCTCTTTCTGCTTCTAAAGGAGATCAAAGTCTTGCTTCTTTGGAAGTTGCTGTATGCAATCAGATAGCTCTCCAGCTGCCTGATGTCGTGCTGCAAGTTTCGTCATCATTTGCTTGGCCTTGTCTGTCCTTGCCAGTTCCACTTGAACAATAAATCTGTGCTGATTTGCTCCTTGGGCTTCTTACAGGCCCCCTGTGGTAAATCTGGCGAAGAAAGTTCTGAAGGAAACAGTGGAGGTAAAAGGACTAATCTTGATTCTTTCTGTATCACCTCTTTGATTCTGCTCTTAATAAGCTTGGGATAAAGGATGCATTTTCTCCATGTAGGAGATGCTGTGACTGTAGACTGGCCCATCTATAGAACCACAGTACAGGCTTCAAAGTGCTTTGCTTGACAGTCTCCTGGAAACACTGTATTGCTGTCTCAGGCCTCCTGGAATTGGGCTGGAGAGGGAGGATGGGGACCCATGTGCTTCTTCCTGATTATCCTGCCTCAGATGTGCTTGGCAAACACAACATGGGGCTGACCATAAGGGCTGTGGGGTCAGCTAAGGGGGCTGTTCTCCCAGCCTTGCTGGGTGCAATGTCCTGCCTCCCAGCTCCACATGAGCCCCAGTGGGAGGTTAGAAGCTGCTGTTCTTTGGCCTAACGTGGTACAGCAGTAACTATTACCCTAAATAGCTGTCTGCATTATTAGTGTTCCCTGTGTGTGGACTAAATTCAGCAGATCATGCTGGTTAAAGGGCTTTTCTCATTATTTTGTGGGACAGAACTGGGCAGATGATCTGGAGGATGATGCTCTTAAAGGACTCTTGCCAGCATTCATCAGGAACTCTGTTCTCTCCAAGAAGCCATCTTCGAGTGGCTTGCTGGGTACCCACAAGAACATGGGCACTGTAAGTATGACTGTCCAGTTGGTGAGCTTGTCAAGGGCTGGCACTGCACACCTCTGTCCTGAAGTGACCCTATAGGAGGAAGCAAATCAGGCTTTTACCTTGCCACATACAGTGCGTAGAAAACAAATCTTGGAGTATGTCCTGGCTACTTACCAGTCCTGCAGAGCTCCAGGGATGACAGATGCTCATTCCCTTCCCGGCAGCAGACTAAATGGCCCTCCATGTCCCATTCCTCCACTTCCTTGGAGCTTGGGGTGTTTTCCTTGTATGCTCAGTCCCAGTGACAAAATCCTAAGTCTTGCTGCTGCTTGGAAGGCTCAGCTTGCTTCAGAAAGTGCCCAAGATACCGAAACTTTACTAATACATTTCAGTTTGTCTTTCCAAAGGTGACAGCTTAGCACAAGTACTGAGTATTTCCAGGTGCTTGTAACCCCTCCCCAGAACCTGTGGCCTGCAGGGCTCCCCCTTCCCCATAATCGACACAAGGAGAGGTAGCCAAGGCTCTGTGCTGCTGCTTCAGGCTCATTTCTTTCTCTCTTCTAGGTGAGGATGGGGTACGATGGCTTGGGAGGCAGAACAAAGTTCATACAGCCTGTATCCTTTCCTGCGGCTTGCATGGCAGTAGTGATGCTGTGGGGACCTCATCTCTGTTCATCCTCTTCAGTCTCAGCCGTCTTGGGGACTTGTGTCCCCCAGTCAATCAAAAATGGGCTCGGATCCTCAAGGAACCATCAGATTTCTCTCTATATGACTGAGCTCAGCAAAGGCATCAAGGACCTGAACTTGCTGAGAGCTTTATCAGTGGTGGCTCATTCAGAGAGGCATATCAACTAGAAATCAGTACAGTTTGCAGGGACTGCCTATGCCCTTGGGATCTCTGAGCAGCAGTGTAGTGCACCCTCTTCCTGGCTTGTGCAGCTGAAGCCTTTGTTCCTGTGGGATGCTGCTGCTTGGCCTGCCTGTCCTGGTGGGCAGCAGTGCAGCAGGTGAGGAGTGGCTGGGTGGAGCTCACCCAGCGGGTAGGGAGCTGCTCTGACTCCCACTCCTCAAGCAGGAGCAGTGTCCTCTCCCCTCTGGAGGCTGCCCGTCACCTACCTTCCCAAGGTAGTACTGTCAGATGGGTGTGTGGTGCACCTATGGCTCTGACACTGCTCTAGCTCCTGGTGCCAGTTTTGGGGGGTTTTGCTCTTTGTAGAAAGCCAGGAGGCTGAAGCAGAGAAGCAGCGATGAGCTGGAAGTTGTGACCTGCTGGGAAGCCTTGGGCCTCACTGTGGAGGGGTGGAGGTCCCCAGTGGCAGGGAGATGCTTGAGCCAGATCTCCGGGGCCAGATGTGCCCATGCTGCCAGCCAGAGGTGAATGGAGAAGGTGGGCAGCCATCCCATTGCTGCTCCTCGCACATGGCTGATGGAGGAGCAGCTCATTTCTCTAAGCCTGAGTGCTGCAGGTGTGCTGGTTTGCGTAACCCTGCAGTTCTGCTAGCATGGCCTGCACCTGCCTTTCAGTGCTGCAATGAGTGGCTGGTCAAGACTGTTTACAGTTCAGTGATGTTTAGTTTCTGCCATTTCTGTGTCTCTGAAGATTTGTGTGATGCCATGTGAGTTAAAGAGGACTTGCTGCTCCAAGGGCTCTTCCTTTGGGTTGCTCTGCCTTGGGAGGCTGCAGGCTCTGGCTGCCGTACATTTCCCTGCACAGTGTCCTGGCTCTGACGCGCAGGGTAGGTCTTGAAGCTCTGATAGATATACTTAAATGCTGGTTTGTGTGCAAGGGGGTAGCATAGAAGTGGGAAGCGTTCCTTGACTTGTGGGACGAGTATGCCTGAGCTCTGCTGCTGTGAGTAGGGGGGGCAAAGCCCAGCCTGCCCTGCAGGGAGTTTTTCTTTGGGTGCAGATGTATGGCTAGGTCCCAGGTCTGTGGTTCAGGCTCTAGTCTGCAGCAGGTATTGGATCATTTGTGTCCCCAGGGCGTTGCTCTGTACTTTCCTTGACAGTTTTACCTCCAGACAAACCTGGCAGAAATCCGTCCGTTAGCAGTGAGAAGCAAGAAAAAGAATGTCTCCAGGCCAGTGTCTGCAGCTCCCTCTGTACCTTCCTCCAGCAGCAGCCAAGCCAGGCTGGACAGTTTCCTGCAGTGAGAGCCGCTGCCTTCCTGGGGAGCAGCTGGGCAGGGCGGCTGCAGGGCAGAGCGCACTTGCCCAGAGCCTGGCACGATGCAATGTGCAACCACCGCTGTGCGGGGGGCTACTGTTAGCAAAGCACCAGTGCTGCTTTGTGGGTGAGGTGAGCTGCCCTGGGGAGAATCCTGGCCTTGCAGAAAGCTGACAGGAGGCCTAAGCCTCTGGCTAATGCTTGGACTGATTTATCCCATTTTACCCCTCCTTCCTCCTATTTTCATGCAGAATAAACAGGGTTTTCTCATCTTCTGGCCTGCTCAGAGCTCTACAGTTGCTGCTGCTGTTGGGTGCTGTGACATCAGGTGGATCTGCATTTCTTGGATGCAGCCGCAAGCTAGAGATGTGGGAAGGGTGGCATGAGAGCAGGGAGAAGGGACCTGGACCAGCTCAATGCCTGGTGTAAATAGTTCAAAGTTTCCTGGAGGGAGAAATGTACACAGGGCAGAGCAGCCCTGGCCCATATTGTTGCAGGGTGTCTTCATGTTCATCATCAAATTGATCAGCTTCCCTCTGTTGCAGGGCCTGTGTGAGTTGGGGAGACCCACAGGCAAGCCTGGGGGATCCTCTGCCTTGCCCTGGTTTGGGCCAGGAAGCCCACTATGAGTTTGTAGGCTTGGCACTGAAATCGCTGACTTGGGGAGGAAGGTGTTGAGGGTGACCTGCTGTCCTGCTTGGAAACAGGGAGATTGGTGTGCTGATGTGACCTCTGTTCTTGGCACATGTTGCTGTGAAACTCGTTTATTAATATCTGGGTTTTTTAATGAGTTTGTAGGGTTTTTTGTTCTTTTGTAACTGGTCTGCCTAGTGATTTGAAGGTTTGGAATGGCCTGAAGTGCTGAAGAATGGCTCCCTTCAGGGGAGGGGGAGACTGATGGGGCTGAACCTGTCTGGGGTTCTTCAGCTTGGAGACATGGGACAGGAGATCCCCCATTGCCCCATGGCTGTTCCTTGCAGCTTGAACAGCCCTGCTTCAGACTTGGTGAGGTACCTCGCTACAGCAGCCTGTACTGTACGCATCTGATGTTTCCTATTTCCAGCTGCTTCAGGCTGGAAGCCTCAGTACCTGGACTGGCTAAAAACATGATTTTAGGGAATAAAATATACTGCCATGCACACTTGTTAACACAACTGGCTTCTGAATGGTTTCCTCCCTAGTGCAGCTCAGGGTGGAGGGCTGAGCTCAGGTGCTGGGCATGGGGGTGATGGATGTGCCTGACCCTTCTGAAACCTTTGGTGCTAGCTCTGGGGAGATGGGCCCCTGCTGCAGGGAAGGGCTGTGGTGGGGTGAAGCAGTGATGAAGTGGTGCTGATCCCCAGGGCAGTGAACAAGGCAAATGGCTGCAGAGCATGAGCTGTGTCTTGCCTGCATCACTTGGGGCTGACTGCTGCATGACCTGGAGTGGGTGGAGAGTCTGGAGGAGCAGGAGAAGAGGGTTCAGAGGGCTGGGAAATGAGCTTGGGGGGAAGGGAGGGGGAACTTAAGCAGAGTTAATTCTGGAGAAGAGAAGCTTGAGAGAGGGTCTGCAGTGAGCATTTTACTGACCCTCTTGTGTGGTGCCCTTGTCCCTTCAAGGTAGGTACCCTGTGTATGTTTAAAAAAAAAAAGTGACAGACTTGCTCTAGATCTCTCTGGCTTGGAGCAAGTTCAGGGAGACCCTCTTAAGAAGGTGGTAGTGAAGGTCTGGGTGCATGGCTGGTGAGGGACGTGGGCTTCCATGTTGGGGTGCTGGAGAGCTGGTGACGTGTCTACCCATAAAGGGTAGAGCTGGTCCCAGCCTGTGGTGGAGGGATTGAGAAGGGCTTTTGGGGCTGTCCTGCTCTAGCCCTGGTTTGGGGATCCGTCAGAGCCAGGGGGAAAGTATTTGCATCTGATCAAGCCAGTCCTGTCCCCTGCTCAGCTATGGCCCTGGGTCCATGTCCAACCTGCCTGCAAAGCTCAGCCCCACGGGCTGCATAGCCCAGTGTCCCCTCCAGCATGGATGGCAGTGCCTGCATGAGCTGGCATCTTTGTGTTTGACTTCTGATGGGTCTGTTGCCCCCCCATTACTTTAATCTGATTGCTATTTGAAAATAAACTCATCCTGGGCCAAAATGTTCTGCTCAGACTGCGGTTTTGATGTTGCTTGGTGTTGGCTCTGCCTGCTGCGTGCCTGGGTGGTGTTTTCCTCCATCTCCCACGATCTTGCAAGCTGACATCGCCTGAACTGCTTTCCTAGGTTTTGGCACCAAGGCAAGTTTCAGCCAGGGCTTGCGTGCCTTGGCTGGGCAGCCAGCTGCTGGTAGCTGCTCAAACCTCTGCTGAGAGTCTAAGGTGGATGTTTTGAGTCTTCTGGTTTTAGGAGAAAAAACAACCAAACAACAAAAACAACTAACACAAAACTGTTGGGTGTGGGTTGGTGGTTTTTTTTTTTTTTTTTTCCTGTTCTGGCCATCTTGTCAGTCCTGATCGCCTTTCATCCATTCCTGCACTCTCCAGCTTCCTCTGTACTTGCTGCCTTTGGAAGTTGCTTCTGATGTGTTTTTGTTCAGTTTTATTGCACTTAACATGTTGCCCCTGCCCAGAACTTGAGTCTTTTTGCTCTTGCTCGGTGATGATTTCAGCTCCTCAAAAGCCCCATTCTTCCTTATATTACATGCTTCACACCTTATGCCTGGCCCCGAGCGGGCCTGCAGTGAGCCCCAGCCGCGGGCATGGCTGCTCCCTAGGGCGTGAAAGCTGGTGGAGAAGGGGCAGAGGTGCCATCTCCCAGGGGCACGTTGGAGCTAGTTTCTATTTCTGTGGAATCAGAGGTGAGACCGGACCCAGTTTCACGTTTATTTTAGGATTTAGCGTAGCGTGCGTTGACTCACAGCCCATAAAAAGCATCTGCTGCCGCGGCTTGAGCTGGTGTTAAACGCTGGGAGCAGCATCCCGGCTCCTGCGGGGCTGGGGGTGCGGTGTG